TTTTTCACCAGTTGGGTGAGCTTTTAGGGCTTAGGTTAAATGGTTATGCCAGAGAATTCCGTGCAGGAAAGAAAGAAAAAGAGAAGGAAAGCCTTTCCAAGGCTCCATCTTACAATAAGGCCCAGGTCCTTACCAAGGCTGGCAAGATTCACCCATAGGCCCACCTTCCCCTTCTCGCCCTCATGCCCCTTGCCCACCGCCCACTGTACCCACTCCATCCAACCTCATTTCCTCTCCTTCCCCGCCACCCCCACTTGGCTCTGACTTCAGAGCCTTTGCTCTTGCTGTTCCCTCCCCCACGCACGCTCTTCCGCATGCTCTTCCTGTAGACACAAGGCTCACTCCCTCACCTCCCCAAGGCCTTCGCTTTCTCTGGCGGCAGGCCTCCCCTGCCCCAGCTCCGGCTCTCCCTTCCCTCTTCGCTGTGCACTGCTGCTCCGTTGGAGCATCCTCCCCTGGGACAAGGGGTTCACCAGAGCCCCAGTGCCTAGCGCGGGGTTTGGCACGTGGTTCTTGCTCAATAAACGTTTGTCGATTGAATAAGTAGCTGCTCCCGGGAATCGAAAAGGCCCTAGATTGTAGAGGAGGCACCACGTTGGCTCTGCAGCAGTGGGGCCGGGATTAGAGGCCCTGCCTTCCCGAACGCCTGGGCTGTTGGCCTCTTTGAACCCCAGTTTCCTCAACTGGTAAAGGGGCCGAGAAGCATAACTTCGGAGGCTTCTGGGGAGATCGGCGGAGCTCATTTTCTAAACTGCTCAGCCTAGTGCCGGGCACATGAGGGGTGGTTGGGAAGTGTGGGTTCTTGTGGTGGTGGTCATTCCCGGCAGAAATTCAGAGCACAGGCTCGAGCTGAACTACTCGGGTTCAAATCCCGGCTCTGTCACCCACTCGCTGTGCAACCCTGGATAAGTGACTTCACTTCTCCGAGCCTCAGTTTCTACTCTGTCAAACGGGTTCACGAGGAGGATGGTATCTCGTGGTAGGTTGTGAGGAATAAATGAACCAATCTATGTAAAACATTTAGAATATAGCGAGCACTCCTTGAACGGTAGCTGTGCTGTCATTACTGTTGTTCACGAGCACAGACTCTGGGGACCAACTAGCTGAGGTTCGAATCTCAGCCCTGCCACTCAAGAATCATCCTCCTGGGCAGAGCTTCCTTGCCTTCCTCTCTGTGCCCCAATTTTCTTTGGAAATTGAGGATAACAGCTGAGCCTGTTACTGGGTTAGGGGAAGATTAAATAGGACGACAGGCCCAAGTGTGGCACCGTGCTGAACACACACTCGTGGCCGCGGCGGTGGTTGTTACTATGGCTCCGTGTGGATGATCTCCGTGCCCACCCGTCCCCATGCCCTGCCCCCGGGGCCTCACCGTGAGGATCATGGACCGGCGGCGGCAGAGCGCCGCGCCCACACCAAAGCTGGCCACCACGAAGAAGGAGAAGCCGCAGAAGATGGCGATCCAGGCGCCAGCGAAGACGTCATCCTTGCCTGAGACGCCCATCAGTGGGTACACGCGGTACTGGTCAGCTGTCACCCATACGGTCTCAGCAAACAGGGCCAGGCCTGACAGCTGGACAGGGCAACAGGTTAGAAAGGCTGGCTCAGGCGTGGCGGCCGGGGCTGCGGGACTCTCTGTGAACGAGTTCCCCTTCTGAGCCCCCACCGGCCTCGGTAAAGCGGGCTGTAAGAAGAAGGGCAAGGGCCTCGCCTTCCATGAGTGGGGATGGGGCTGGGCGGAGGCCAGAAGGGAAGGGCTGCCAGGCCGGATCCCTGCCCCCCGCCCACATCCCAGCCGCCAGTTGCTTCAAGGATACGAGGAGATGCCACATACACAGCCCAGAGCGCACGACTGGAACAGAGGAGATGCTTGATCACGTGCCCTCTCTCAATAGTGTTGTTAATCCCGAGCTGAGGAATCTGGCCGGGGCCGGAACAACTACAAACGCATCAACCCTTTGATCCACAATTCCGCCTGCAGTAATCAATCCTGCTCGTGCAGGAAAATCATCAACCCACACAGTCATTCCCTGTGTCACCATGTAAAAGGAACCGGCGTGCCACACGAGGGAGTGCTCTGCAGTCACGACAAAGGGCCGAGGAGGCCGAGGACTCATGTGGAAGGGCCTACAGACTAGGTCAGCAGGAGAAACTGGGAGGCACAGAACAGGATGTGGAATGAGCTGTCTCTTGGACAAAAAGGGAAGAAAATAGGTATACACGCTCCTATTGCTTAAAGAAATTGTTGGAGAAACTAACAATCTAGGTACCTATAGGGATGAGAGATGGGAAGCAAGGAGAGAGGAAGACTTCTAGAACAGTGGCTACCTTTGACAACACTCACACTGACACTCATGGGGTATTTAGTGTGTGCGCGCCAGGCACGGTCCCACTAACTGCTTTCTGTGTGATAATCATCGTCACCAGCTGCAGAGTCATGGCCGATACAGACAGTGACCGTGTGTCGTCCCACGCTCCGCACGAATCTGATGACTCATCTTAAACTCCCGGCATTCCTATTTTATCTCCATCTACAGATGAGAAAACTGAGGCCCAGAAGGATTACGTTGCTGGCCCCAGGTCCCACAGTAGAAAGCAGCAGAGCTGGGGTTTGAGCCCAGGCTGTCTGGCTCCAGAGCCATGTACAGGCATCACAGTTTAAAAAATTAAATAGTAATTAATAAGACATTGCTATGGTTAGTATTCATTACGATGGGCCTCCTGTGCCCCAAGCAGGCACTTTATGTCTATAGTCATGTTAACGAGGACAACGTTTGTCAAGCACTTTTTCGGAGCTGAGGGTCAGTATGGATGAACCCACACAACAGTCCCCACAACGGGGACATAATCTATCGATGAGGAAGCAGAGTGATGAGAAGGAGAGCGGCTTGCTGGAGTTTGCAAAGCTGGGGAGCCACAGAGCTGGGATTGGAATCCAGGCTGCCCTGGCTTGACAGCCTGCAGCCATCACCAACCCGGGAGTCCTGGGCCCTGAGCCCCCACCCCCAGGAATCCCTTCCTCCCTGCCCACCCACTGGGCTCCCAGCACTGGGGGAGGTCTCACCAGAATAATGATGTTGCCTACCACCAGCAGTCCCACCACAACCGGAGACCCCTTCTCCGCCTCTGCTGCTGCGGAAGCCATAGTCCTGCTGGGGACACATGAGTGGGAATGAGGCCAGGAGGGGGAGGGAAGCCCCACCAGCCTCACTCCACACCCCAGCTGCCGGGGGTGCTCCTGGCTCTCTGCTGGGCCCAGACTGGTGCTGAACGAATCTCCCCACAACCCTGATGGCGGGCCACTTTACAGACAAGGAAACCGAGGCTCATTGGCCAGAGCTCAGTGCTGGCCTCCCTGCACCTCATAGCTTCCTACTTTCCCTTGCTCATCCAGACCCTCCAGAGCCCCCTCCTCACCTTCTCTTTCCGAAGCCTCTGTGGTCAGCCCTTCCCACAGTGGCTGCCTATATATATATGCCCAGGCCCCTCCTTGGGCCAGTCTCCCAGGAAGGAGGAAGGGAGTCTGGAGGAGGAGGGGACAAGAGGTCAAGCAAGCTGACCAGCATGGGAAAACAGATTTATGAGCACCCCACCCCCCAACCCAGGTGATTTATAGACCTGAAATTCAAGATTGTGCTAATGTCTGGCTACATGAGCAGCATGATGTGCCCATGGCCTCTGGTTCCCAGGCTGTCTTGGTGGGGGAGGGGGCCGGGCCACCTGATGTCTCTCCTTAGGACATGGGCCTTCTTGGGGGTAGGGGGAGATCCAGGTTGGATCCACACGTGAATCCTGAATTCCAGAACTGCCTCCTGTGTTGGTGGCTCCACCTCTCCGAGGCTGGGAGCCCAGGGGGAGGCCCAGACAGGGACCCAGCAGGCTAGGACAGAGCTGGACCAAGGCAAGGAGGTGGGGAGGAGATGAGGGAGCAGGTGAGAGGGCAGCTCAGAAGGCTGATTATATGGGCTGCAGGCTAAGGGAAGAGGACGGCTGGAGACAGGTGTGTGAGGGGAGTTCCAGATGAGTGCACAAGAGGGGGAAGAGAGTGTGCCAGAAAAAGAGGGAGGGCACACTGAATGGGCTTGGTGGGAGAAAAGCAACCCCTCCCCCCACCACCCACGGACAAAGCAGGGTCACAGCGAGGAGCCATAAGTGGAAATGTCTTCAGGCTACAGAATCAAAAGAGACCTACACTGAAATCCCAGCTCTGCTCCTTTGGGCTGCGCAACTTGGTGTGTGCGTTTGCCCATCTGCAGAATGGGTATCATTCTTATACTTATAGCAGTGGGAACTGAGTGCAGGGATGTCTGCGAAGGATGCCCTCTGGGCGCGTGTACAGCAAGAGGCCAGGCTGCGCCAGCAATGCTCCCAAGAGGCCCACTTTTCCTCCGATGGCGCCCCCTAGTGGCAAGAGGTTGGTTCCTTAGATGAAAATGGCTTGGGGCACCCAGTCACTCCCCAGAACTTCTCAAGAACCAAGGCAGTTACAATGTTTTTTCTCTGAGCTGTAGCTCCCTCAAGTGTATGTGAAACCGGCAAACAAATGGGACTTAAACTTCACTGTTAAGACAATGGCTTGGTAATAAGACACGTGAGACGTGTTCCAGTTAAAATTAAAACAATTTGGCTTTTAGTCAATCCACTTTACATGGAAAATAGTTTTTCTCGGGGCACCTGGGTGGCTCAGCCAGTTAAGCATCCGACTCTTGATTTAGTCCAGGCCATGATCTCTTAGGATGAGACTCCTGTCAGGCCCCATGCTGAGCATGGAGTCGGCTTGGGAGCATCTCTCTGCCCCTCCCCCACTCTCTCTCCCTCTCTGTCTTTCAAAATAAATAAACATTAAGAAATAGTTTTTTCTCTGTTGATTTACATTTATATTAAGGACTAATAAGAAAATTTAAATAATAATGTACATGACCTGTCAAGTACATTTTATGAGCTTTAGCTAAAATAACTTGGTAACAATAGGGCCATGTGAATAATATGAAATATTTTTATTTTCAAATGGTTGGTAACTGTTAGTAGTTGGGAGTTACATAAAATGTCTCAGGCTTTTGGCTAAAATCAAGTGTAAAATATCTAGTAAAAACAAAAAGTTATCAATGGGGCATTACTCTGTCACCAGTCATAAAAGGGATCCATTCTGTTCTGAAACATGAAGCCAGTGTAGTTTGATGTCAAACTTGAATTTTCATGATTCTTTCTTCTTATTATATAAACCACTCTTCAAACAATACATTTTGAAGTGCTAATTACTTCCTTTAAAAAATCATAACGCCACATCCTCTAAAGATGACATATGGCTATCCTATGATCCAGCCATTTGTCCCTGGGAATGCCCCCATTCCCGGCTACCAAATGCTCTGAATGTATTCGTATCAGCCTTGAACTGGAAACCACCCAAATGCTCCTCAACAATAGAATGGATACGCACGTTATGGCACACACATACAAGGGATACTATTCAGCAATAAGAGGCAATGAACTATTGACACTTGCAACTACCGGGATGAATTTCAAAAGCATTACACTAAATGGAAAAAGCCACACTCAAAAGACTGTAACTGTATGATTTTAGTATGAGGTTCTAAAACAGGCAAAACCAATCTAGGGAGATAAAAGTCAAGGAAGTGGTTACTCTCGGGGGCATTGTGACTTGGGGGGGGGGCAGGGAGGGGATTCTTTTTCTTGATTTGGATACTGGTTACATGGAGTTGTTCAGATTGTGTGAAAGTACATTAAGCTGTATAGTCATGATAAGTGCACTCTTCTATGTATATATGTATATATTTTTCATTGCAATGCATTTTAAAAGGGTAAAATCTTGGGGCGCCTGGGTGGCTCAGTAAGTTGAGCATCCAGCTGTCGGTTTCAGCTCAGGTCACGATCTTATGGTTTCATGAGTTCGAGCCCCACGTCGGGCTCTGTGCTGATGGTGCAGAGCCTGCTTGGGATTCTCTCTCTCCCTCTCTCTCCCTCCCTCCCCTGCTCACTCTGTCTCTCTCAAAATGAATAAATAAAACTTAAAAAAAAATTTAAAAAGAGGG